TCTGTTCTAGATGAAAATTATTGAAGTAATGACATGGCAGAAACACACACACACACACACACACACACACACATATACACACAAATAGCCTTTATTCTGACTTCAAAGCTCACAAAGAAATGTTCATTTGGCCGCCACCGCTTTAACGGTTTGAGAAAATGCGACACTGTGTGCACATGTTTATCTCTTGGCTCTAAACACCTGTCACGAGCGATGATGAAAAGCGCCACCGTGGCTGAACAATAGTGGAAACAGAGGAATGCTGTTGATGAAACATAATACAGTGGAGGAATAGAATGGACGATAGAAATGGTTGTTTAGATCCCTGGTGGGTCATTCAATCGTTTTTGCCCTTGAGCACATGGCCCTTCAGAGGAATAACTTATGATAAGTGGTACAATGCTGTTAAAGGGAATGAGGGGGACGAGATGCTGAAGGTGTGTGTGTGTGTGTGTGTGTGTGCGTGCGTGTGCGTGTGTGTGTGTGTTAGATGAAATAGATTTAGGCATGAAGTGGTCACTCGTTCCACCAAAACAAAAGCACTTGAGCTGCCTAGTGTCTCATCATGATCTCTCTGAAATAACAAACTGTTGTGTTTAGAAAGGTCACTGAGGAAGATAACAAACATAATATTATTATATCATATGAGTTGCATTGGTTTAACTTCACCACATCTTATAGTTATTGTTTTGTTTGTTCTTCATCAACATAAAGCTTTATACCAGAAACATTTCTTCATTTTGTATTAATAGTAATTCAGTCCCCAACAGTGATGAGCGATATATTAATTAATATGTATTGTTTACTTGGGTGGCTAAGGACAGGGAAGGTGAAAACAGTTATACTACTATAGACAATGTTAATATGCTCATAAAAGCAATTCTCTTCTTCGCTCACAAACAATAACACGCAACACTGATCACAAACAACTTGGATTTGACGAGGCTGCCCAATGGTTTCACATATTTTAAGCATTTACCAATCCTACCTTTAATCCTACTCCTCCTCTGATAGGCCAACCCTTCTTACCCTTCTCTACGGCACAGTGCAGGCTGCACAGAGTACTTGCCAGCAGTACATTTTGCAAAAGGCTTATCCACCGTCCTTGAGTATTTAGTTGTGCTCATGTGTGCAGATTCAATTCAATCAGAAGAAAACGTTATCTGATTATTTAAACTGTGCTTGCCTGATGCTCACTCTTCTAACACTTTAATTAATTCATGCCTGGCATTTTAATGTTTGTGTTTTTGGCTATATAGTATTTTTTTATCGTCTTTAAAAGTGCTTAATGCATCAGTAGCTGTGTTTGCAGTAATGCTCTACAAATATGTTCTATAGAGCTTTATGTGCAGAATATTTATTGACCAACACCTTAATTACCCTGGTTCTGTTTATTACCGCTGCAGCGTGCACGGTTGTTTCACAGCAGGGGCGTCTCGGATCATGCTGGTGCGTTAGAGAGATTTAGCGATGTTCATTTCTATATGGTTTGCAAACTCACTGATGCAAAATGTCAGCATTTAACTGCTGTGCTCCAAACCCGTTCTTCTGTACATCCTCTTCCTTTTTACCTCCATCTTCACCTTCAGAGAAGATGCAGTCAGCAACAACATGAGCCAAGCTCTAAAAAACTGGATTTGCCACATTCATTTCCACGGCTGCGTCATGTTTCAAAGGATATAATTCATTTTTAATTTAGCTTTGCAGTGGTTTCCACAGACAGACTGAGCGCACAACACAAACAGTTACTTGTGAGATGAGAAGCAGTGTGATGGAGGGGGCGTGGGTGCATAATGATGGGTTTGTGCGTGTGCATGCACATGTGTGCTATGTATCATTGTGCCTGTTGTGATTGCCTGACCCAAGGTTTCAGTGCATTACCACCTTAGCAGCTTCCTGGTTGGATTTATTTGTTGAGTGCGCATACACACACACACACACACGCACACACGCACACACACACGACTGCACATAGACTCACAAGTCATTTTATCGCTCACAGCCGGGTGAATGTGTCCCACTGTCAAATGTATGCAGGTTGAGAATGAATTGAAAAACGTGATGTAATTAATTTGATGTGACAAACTATTTTTACCTGGGCTCATTCACAGAGACACAAAGTGGACATATAATAAGCAAATAAAGACATTCCAGATCTCTGCCAAACCCCAACAGTCCCCTTAAATTCAATCAGGCTGCAGCAAATTGCACCCAGTCATGTAAGAATATAAGACAGATGGTGAATATCACTTGTGCGTTTGAAGCTCCGCTGCACAATTTAAGTTACCAACTACCAGTAGATGTTAGCAGGTGTTAGCAGGTGTTAGCGGACACTAGCGGATGTTCGTGATTTAAATTCAGTTGTGGGCCTTAGTGTCATAAAGAGTTTTGGGATTGTAATCAACGATACAGGCTGAACCTGAGGGAACGCTGAGACTAATGGTCATCACGTGTTTCTGCCTTTTATAGAAATCAGTCCCCTAATTGTTTTCATCAACATCCACAACTTATTCTCTTGAAAATCTATGAAAATGTCCCAAAATTGCAAGATTTGCAATGTTAAAGAAATTGAGAATCCTGAATAAAAGAGGTCTTCTGACCAAGGTTTGTGGAAATCTGCAGTTTTTGTGGAATCATTGCGACAAACAAACCAACGGAGACCCGGGCTGGAACACAACCTGTCAGAGGTAATCATCTTATTTTAGGGTCATTCACATTCCAGGCAATTAAATAATAAACAATAGACTTGTTCAGACAATCATTATCCATGCAGTGTGATCACGGAGCTAACCGGCCATCCGCAGCTCTCGGTAGCGATTCAGCAGAATTGTAACAGCCCTTCACTCATCGCCACCTTCTACTCTCTTGTATAAGTTTCTCCCTTCATCCTTGTATCTCTCGCTTCATAATGCTTCAGCGAACTGTCCTTTCCCAGACTCTGGTCGCTGTGCTCTCATCACATGACCACAGTGGTTAGACCGAGTGCTGTTGTCTTTGTTTCCTCTCTCATGCAGCCACTTTAATTATAAAATATAAATATAATGCAATGAAAAATATGTGTGAATGTCACTTACTTAGAGTGCATATATTTGTTCCACTTCTCAAATGAAAAAATTAGGTCTTGTCAATGTCAGTATGTTTACGTGCACAATACTCCAATTATTTTACATAATTTCAAACTTATATCAGTATCATTGTTTATTTCATATTTAAAAAACTGTTCATCATCCAAGTAGGTCAAAGTAACCAGGTGAAGTTTCAGTGTCGTGCTCCAGGAGGACAGGTGCTGATTGGAGACAAACACATCTCACCCCCGGGAAACTTCAGAACAAACGAACATTTCTTCTGACAACTACAACTCAGGAACGTCTCCTGAGCAAATGTTGGATTCTGGTTTTTCAATTCACACATTTGTTTGATTCAGGGAATAAAATGTCCCAAGATCTGACAGCTTTCATTCTGCTATGGTTGACTCAGAGTGGTAACATTAATGAGCGCTGATGTCCAGGGCTATCCTCTTCCTCCTCCTCCTCCTCCTCTTCCTCCTTCCCTGGAAGCGTGAGTGGAGCTCCAGCAATAACAGGATTTTAAAGGAGATTTCCTGGTTCTTAACACCCACTGGTCTGGCCAGTCACACACTCCCTCACCCCCACTCTTTCTCACACGCACACACACACACACACACACACACACACACACACACACACACACAGACCCCTGTTCTCTGCACTAGAATTAGCCACTGGCCGCACTCCAGTGAGATCCGCTCAATATCCCACCCTACCAAAAACCACCCTCTGCCTTCTCACTGCTCACTGGAGGCAGCACGTTGCCAAAGTCAGAGTTGTGTCACAGCAATCAATCACCCATCAATGTGAAACAGCCTACCCCAATACAGAGAAAACACAGCACAACACTGCTGTAACATCACCCCCATCGAAAAACTCCTCCCTTACTATCACCTGACATCTGCCCATTTGTATCTCCATCCTCCCTCCTGACCTCCATCCGCTCCTCGCTCCTTCTCCTCCTCTCTGTCCATCCCTCCCCCATGGTTTCAAACAGACATCACAGCCATTATCACCTCACTGTGATTCAGACACTTGATTCCTTACTCAGCCGGAGACCCTCTGGCACATATGCAGACAAGCATACAAGAGTTCTTGCACACACATACGTGTGCACACACACACACACACACACACACACACAGGTGATGAACAGCTGACAGACATATTTTACAGTGCGTACTGTCACCGGGATGAACATGAAGCTTGATGCTTTATTAAAAGTTATTTAATAAAGAACAGATTACGTTTGCTGTTGAGTGAGTGGTGAATTACTTTAGATGAGTAATTGAATTGTTAGGTTACTTGTCCTCCCCTCATCTTCATCATTTAGTAGCTGGTCAGAAAAGTGAAGCTTGAAATCAGCTTCATACGTTTGTTTTCAAATTAGCTCATTGATCCGTACAAGGATCACCTTCCTTCTTTTACCACGACAAAATATACAGGTATTTTTATCCATTCATCGGTTTGCCAATCGGACAGGGCCGAACTGCATTGTGGTTCCTTTGCATTGCTCGCGCTGCATGAATTCAGCAGAGCTCAATTGTTCACGCTGAAACGGTGGCACCAACCAATCAAATCACGTTAATGCGAAAGAGAAGGCAGAGGCAGCTGGTGAGGCTGGTTTGTGTTCATCTGGTTGAGTATTTTATATTAGCTGTACTTCTGTATAGTCTTGAATTAGCAGATTAGTAGATTTTGGGATTATGACTGGAAGCAGGGAAACAACTACCGGGTTAACCAACATGTTAAAAATGAAACATGAGTAGTTTTAGTGACGTATACAATACAGTACGCGGGGAGAGCCAGGCTTTTACTCCTGCTTCCAGTCTTTATGCAAAGCTAAACTATGACAATCGCACCCATTATTTGCCTGTTAAGGATCCCTCCCTTCCAAACCCTAGATCAATATCATCCACTCTCAGTTCCTACCTGGAGTTGGTCATGTCAGTCTGTCCTCCTTGACTCTTCTCCAGCCCCAGCTTGGTGAAAATCCCGACCAACACCATGATGGCCACCACTCCGCAGATAATATACACGATCATGTGGGTCCGATCCCGGTCTGGCTCCTCGTGGACCTCCGTGACGGGTGCCGCCGGTTTCCCGGTGTTAGCCCACACAGGTGTGTCATAGTTGGAACAGGACGTCTGGTCCAAACTGTGAATTTTGAACTGGCAGCAGAAGCGGTAGAAGCAGGAGCCGCAACAGAACAGGTAGATACCCGCGTTACAGTTGAAGGGAGGGTCCCACTGGCCCATGACATCGTAGTAACCCCAGCATCTGTTGCCGTTGCTCGGAGCTGTTTGGTCCTCGGTTTCTGGTGTGGGCGTAGCCAGGGCGGCCTCTGACAACATAGAGGACTCAGTCTGGTTGTTGGCGGAGACCTGGGCCAAAGCCTGACCAGACGACCGAGAGCTCAGTCCACCCAGAGAGGTCAAACCCAGGAGAATGGCCAGCAACACGTTCATCAAAAGTGGATGCATGGAGGTGGCCATCTTGAACTTACTCCAGTGTCTCGTGGCTCAGAGCCGATGTGTAATTGTTAATTAGAGGCCCAAATTAAAGATCCTAGGTTAGAGAAGACAACAAAGAAAGAGAAAGTTAAATACGCCCAGAGCTTCAAATTATATTCATTCAATCAATCTTTAGGTTGTTAGAAAACACTGAGATAACAGTGAGGTCAAATAGAGGGAGCTTAGTCTATATTCATGCCTGGAAGAGAAATAAAACAGCGTTTAATTAGTGCTGTGGGAATTATTACTGCACAGTTACAGAAAAGTGAATTGTCGTCCAAGGGCAGAGAAACAAGTGAGTGAAAGAAATCAATCTCTCATCTCAACATGCTTCTAATGGGAGTGAATGAGTCCCTTGTGGGCAGGAGCTCACATGCACAGACACATCACAGTCCCTGGCAATTTATGTGTGTGTGACTGAATATGTGTGTGTGTGTTACAAAGCCATTAAATATTCTTAAATTCAGGAAATGTCACCTTTCACAAAGCCATATGTCACAAGCAGACAGCGGAGGCAGCTGTAGACAAATCCAAATCCTCTGGCTTGGAGGGAAACGCAGTTTAGGAGGGCGTGTTACCTACGAATGGACTTGCCTCTGGCATTTCTAGCAATAAGCTCCCATGCTGAGTGGATGAATAATCCGTGAAAAGAGAGAACTCTGGGTTCCTGACGGCAGAGAAAGAAAGCAGATTCCTCTCAAACTCACAGATTGTCACAGGCTCCCACATGAAAGGCTTTTGACTCTGCAGACGGACTCATATTCCTGAGTGGATCACAACTCTAATGCTCAAGTCTGGAGTCAAATAAGTCCAGGTAAGAAAAAAGAAAACACTTGAACCAGTGTGCAGTGTTTTCCTCTTCTCCCTCTCAGAGTTTAACTTGCATCTATCATCCTCCTACTCTCCGTGTCACTGTTCAGAGTAGGCTTTTTTATTTTGGTGGTGGGCATCTTTTCACCGCCACCTTGGTCCACTTTGGTGAATGTGACTCCCTCTTTGAGAAGTTTGGTTCCAAGTCTCTCAGCTCCTGAGGTCTTTGTGAGTGATATTTAATATTCTGCTTTTATTTTGAAAAGGTTATGTTGGACAGTTCCTTCCTAATTCCAGCCAACAGGTAAACGCAGCTGCTCAGGACTCTTTAAAACACAACTCCAGACTCCAGAGGTCCTATTCCAGTCCAAAAGCGTCTCCTCATGCACCTTAGGCGTGTTTTCTCTCATGCATGCGCACACACACACCACACACACTCTCACACAATCAGCTCCGACCCCAGTACTCTGCCAGTGTCACTCTGCAGGTTTTAAGCAACACCCAAGGAGTCCAATGGGTATTTTGTGCTCTGCGTTTGCAGGGCTCCTGCTGCTGCTGCCGCCGCTCCGTGCACACTCCACTGAAACCCCCTCCTCTCCCCCTGTGGATCCCGGGGTCTAGAGCGGACCCAGGACACCAGCCGGGCTCTCTGTCTATCACCCTGCTCAGTCCTGCCCCACAAGTGCTCAGAAGACTGAGGGGAGGAGAAAGAGAGAGGAAGGGGAGGGCTGATGTGCTGATACTGAATCTCTAATCTAAATGTCTTGGTGCTGCTGCATCCAACAGAAGCTGTAAAAAAAAGAGAAAAGCGCTGGAATTACTGAACCAGAGTGGAGGGTCCCATTTAACGGATTGTTCTGTGATGGTTCTATTTCTCTTTCCTCGGCTTTGCTTTTGGCTTTTTATGATATCTCTTTGTTTACACTATGATCTCAATCCCTATCTATCCTCTCTTTGAGCTCCCTGCCTCTTTTTCTACTTACCTCACCCTCTGCTCTCATGCCCTGAGGAAATATCAGCTCGGGGGTCAGAGTGCCTGTGGATTGCCCTCTGCACTTTCAGCGATGCACTTGCACAAGCCTATAGCGGGAATAATGCTCCCCGAGCCCGAGCGGACGACAGAGACAAGTGGAGATGCGACAGCCACGCAGCAGTGTGGCACCGAGGGCAGATCAAAAAATGTCCTGTTTTTCAAAAGAAGCCCCCTTTTGGAAACGTGGGACTGTCTGCAGCAGCTGCTCTTTGTTGTTGTTGTTGTTGATGATGTTGCTTCAACAACTCACTTGCCAGTTTTAGCTTAAAAAACCAAGAAAAAATCTCAAAGCATTAATATGCAACAGTTTTTAGGCAAATGCTGCATATTATCTCTCAATTTTTGCAATGGATTCACTCTGCTGTCAATTCAGTCCTTGTCCGGCTGCAGCTTCTTTGAAAACAGGCATAATTTGATATATATGTATAGGAATTTTATATATATATCATATGTATGTGTTTTCACTGGTGCTCTGCTTGTGGGATGCTCCAAACAGAAGAGGGAAGAACAAAGAGAAGCAGTAAAATGCTTTTTCTTTTTTTATTCCATCCTCCCCCTTTGTTGCTGCTTCTTCCTCAGTGTGTATTCCCGTATTTCCTCGCTCTGCTCAGTGCGTTTGAATCTCATCGGCTCCTGCTGCTGCTCTCGCTGCTGCTGCTGCTGTTCTCCGGCAGGACTGGATGACAATGTCTCTCTCTCACACATACACACACTCTCTCTCTCTCTTCCCTCCCTCTCCCAGCTCACTCCTCCCTCTCTCGCTCACTCCTCCCTTTCTCTTCCTCTCACACACTCATCCTTTGTGGGTAAATGAGCACTTGCTGACTCTCGCTTTCACTCTCCTCCTCTCTCCATCATCATGTGTCACTGACACTCTCTCCGCTCAGTTTTGTCCCACGTTTGCGTGTTTTCTGTTTTGGCTCCTCATGATGTCTCCCTGTCCTTGTTCCTTCCTATTCTCTCCATCTCCAACCCCGGTTCTTACTTTTTTTTTTATCTGTTCATTTCTGTTTATGTCCTGTCTGTCTAACCTTTTCAGTTTTCTTTGGCTGCCTCCCCTGTCTTTTTTTCAGCTCTGCCATTATTTGTGAGTTTTTACCTCTTCTCATCTCATCTTTTCATCCTCTCCCTGATTCTCGGCTTCCAGCTCTTCTGTGCTTCAATCCCAAAATGCCAGTCAGCCCCACAAATGAGAGCATTAGTGCTGACACAGCAGTAGCATGTAGCATGTGTGATGCATGTTTTTTGTACATGCATGTGGGTGTGTGTCTTCTATTTTTGCTTGTGTGTAATTACCGAGCTAATTCCCCTGCACGTCTTTGTCTTTGTGTGTGTGAGCGTGTCTGGAACATGTGTGGTGCTGCAGTGCTGATTGAGGGAGGGAAAGAGAGAGAGAGAGTAAAGGGATGGATGGATGGAGAGGAAGAGGGAAGGAGGAAGAGAGGCAGGGGAGGGGAGGAGAGGACAGCGGAGCGCCTGCCAAATAGAGGGGGAGAAAGAGAGGGCGCTTGACAGAGAGGAGCAGGGAGAGGGAAAGAGGAGAGTTATCGCATGGAAGGGAGGAGGGATTAAGAAACATAAGGATAGCAAGTGGAATGGGAAGTGACGGAGGGGTAGTAGGAAGTGATAAGAGATAATAAGTAAGAGACGACAATATGGAGGAAAATAAAGAAAAGCTTTCTGAGAGGAAAGTGACATATTAGACCTACAGAGGTCTAACACAGAGAAGGGAGGGATTATTATTCAGAGAGAAACGCATGAGAGAGAGTAAGAGAGAGAGTTGGAATTCCAAAATAAAATTAAAAGAGATAAGGGCAATGATGAGTTTGGAATAATATGCTGAAAATGAACTGCATTTTAAAAACGGACTGATGTATTATGTACATGTAACACAACAATGTTCAGTTTTTACATTTCACCTTTCCTACAAATCAAACACCAAGATCACCAGAATATCACCAAGTCTGCCAAGACCCCACGGTCCCGTTAAATCCAATCAAGCTGCACCAAATTGCACACAATCATATCACTCCAGTATCCACAGATCGAGTGGTTTTTGCATAATCCTGCTGACAATCAAACAAACAAAATCATCCTCCTTGGCAACAATAAGGAGTAGTGCCTTTGGGTCTGACTATGACCTGGGCATTCATGAGAAAATAGAGCTGCTTTGTTCATGTATTTCATTCTGTTTTAAAGTGGCGGAAATTATATTCTCATTTTTTTTGCATGAAAGCTTAAATGTTTTTCCTTTCTCTGCCACCATCTCTCTTTTTAATCTCTCTCTACTCTCTCTCTCTCTCTCTCTCACTCTCTCTCTCACACACACACACACACACACACACAATACGATCCTGTGTGTGTCTGAGCCACATTTCTTTTGTTGTGGTATTTTTCCTGCGGCTCCTCTTTGCTCACTGTTTGTACTCTGTCCAAACCTCTCAGGCTAAATTCTCTGGCACAGTGCGTCAGGACTTGTGTCAAGAAAACACATACGTGCACGTTTACAACATGCAAACGCGTGTGTGAAATACACACTTCACACCACAGTTATGCCATGCGCCACAAATGAGCTAATCCCTCCCCCCCTCCTCCCTTTTCGCCCCAGTCTGACATTAAAGAGGCACATTTTCTCCAACAGAAAATAGGCCATTGGTTGAGAAAAGAAAAGAAAGATATCAAAGTTGCTGTGAATGAAGACAGGTCTATGTACCATCAAACGCACAAGTCGCCACATCTCAGTGCTCAGGAAGGCGTGTGGTGCGACATGGGAGCAGAGGGTGTTGGCTGAAAAGCGAAATGGGAAGGAAGGGGGGGATGAAAAAGATGGAGAGGCAGAAAGGGATGGGAGGAGAAGTCCTGGGGGAGAGAACAGATTGAATGGGAGATCTGTCTTAAATCATTTCAATCTCCTCTTTCTCTCTAGCACACATCCTCTCCTCTCCTCTCCTCCCAACTCCTCGCCTCTCCTCTCCTCTCCTCTCCTCACCTCTCCTCTCCTCCCCACTCCTCTCCTCTCCTCTCCTCTTGCTTTCTTCAGCCAAGTGGACTTAGATCAACAGTCTAGACTGAATAGTGTTCTATTACCAATTAGGCCTCTTATCATTTTGCTTTTTAAGGGTTCAGATTAATTTAATTGACACAACCATTTAATGGTCTGTGGTCATTTAGTTCTACTAATAGAATTTCCATGATTAGTGTTTTTCCTTTATATATATTTTTGGTGTGGGATTCAACCTTGATGGCGACTGACTGTAAATTTGTGCCGCTCACCAATAGAAATCTGTCGTTACATTACATGTGTTACTTCATCCACTTTAAACTCTCTGAGAATGAACTGCTCCACCCTGGCACTCGCCTCTTTTCTTCTTATCTGCGTCCTCTCATCTGGACTTCCTCTCTTTACCTCCGACTCAATCGTCTTGCATTCAATTTTACTAGAAAACTCAAGGAGGGTAGAAACGTTTTCCTCAAAGTCAGCCTCATTCTTTGTTTCCATCTCCGTCACCTGCTGCCACCTTCAATCGCATCCCCTCTTTACCTTCGCTCCATCCTTTCCTCTGTCTGTCTACATTTCTCCCCTCATCTTGGAATCCTCTCATCAAACTATCTCACGTGTCTCTCAGATCACAGCGTCTGTGCCACACCACACCACGCCTGTCACTCCGGCTCCATTTTGCCTCGTGGCTTTTTCTCGCACCCTTTCACTTCGTTTCGTTTGCTATAGCAGCTCGTGGTTCCTGTGCTCTCTGACTGTCGCTCACTATAGATTAGTTCAGGGTGGAAGAAAAAAAAAAGGTGTGTACGTCAGACAAGGCCATGACAGAACTCAGAGGAGGAAGGGGGTGAACAGTAAACTTCAAAATAAATAAATATAAACGAAGATGAAGTCAAACAAGTTAAATAAAGAGACATTTCTCATTCACGGTTC